GGGTACGAGGGACCGATGAGTAACGCTTCTTTTCTATTTTTCCATCCTATCCTCTTCTATTCTGCTCATTTGCACGAGGGCGGCGGCATTGTCCTTGAAGAGCGTCTTCGTTATTATTTCCATAAAACATTTTCAAAATATTTTTTTCCCCTCTCTGTGAGAGTCAAAGGCAATCGGCACGCTGAGATTAATGAAACGTCATGAAAAATGATGAAAATTTCCTGCTGATGCAGTCTCAGCAGCTAAAAATAGATGAGGTATGGCAGGAGTTTTTCTATTAGCGCCGAGTGTAAGTCGTAAGTGTAAGTGATGGGGCTGGATGGCCGTGAGCATTCAGGAAGAGAGGAGAGGAATGGAGGAAGAAAGTGTCGTTAAATTGTTAGTTTAGTGATACGGTGTTATGACAGATTATATGACGCCCCTTGTTCGCAATCGGTCAAGTTGAATTCCCCGTCCTTGTCTCATAATTCGAGGGCAAAAGTGGGTCAAGGTTAGTGATGTCCAATGGAGGATGATTTTTGATGGTCATTCGCTGCTGTGATTTCATTAGTTTGTAATGGTGAGTGACATTTTTCGTTCCGTTGGGCTACCGTCGTAATAGTATTATCTCGTGCTACGGGTGTTATTGCTTTTGGAGGGAAACTACGCGGAGAAAATTGTTGGAGAAAAATGACCGAAGAAGTCGAGTAGGCGTGGAGCGAACTCCCTTCAACTAGAGCTCCGGGACACCCTCGATTTTCAGACATGTACCGACCACTCGCGTTCTAATGCATAATTCTTGTTTTAAACAATAAAATATCATCACTGAACGTTAAGCACAATTTTCAATTAATTTTAGGCATTGCAATTATTTATTATTAACAATTAAATTGTTCAAATCGTCCTAGCACCCAAACTATGGAGAATAGACGAAAATTTTCAAATCATGGATCATCTAGAATGTAATAAGGAATCATTGTTGACGATTATTAATTTTACGTATCTCTCCTAGACTCCGAGATATGAGCAAGAAACTAGTAAGCGCCCCGACATAGCCCTCTCTGCTTGCGGCGCGCGGTGCGCTTGAGAGCGCTGTGTTGGGTCACGCAACTCTTTTCTTGCTTATATCTCGAAATCTAAAGGAGATATTATTATTATTATTATTATTATTATTAATAACACACAACCGCTACACAACCCGCGTAGCTTCCAAAACCCTTGATACATCTATTCGTACGATAGTGTATGACTTCTTCAGTTCATTGACATGCGTTCAAGGTACATATCCAAGTACTTTTTATAGTTCTGTACAAACGACATTATAGTCTTGGACATTTTCAATCAATGAATTAATGTTTATTGCGCTAAAATGAATGGGAAAAAATCATAAATAATCAGTGTTGTTAAATAATTTTTAATCTTCGATTAATTCTTTTTTTTTACGTTTTAAAATAATCTGATTAAAATGGGTAATTGTTGAAACGTTAATTTCCTTCATGTAAATCTGTTCCACTCCGTTAAATATTCTCACGTGGAACATATAGTTTTTCGGCGGAGCTAATTTTTTTTCTCAGTGTACAAATTACCCTCACGTTTAGTAAATTTTCCCGACCCAGCGGAGAGAAATTCACTATTTGTCCTTCATCTAAAAATGGATTCCACTCGACGATTACTTGACTCGTTTAGTAATGTTCCTCCATCTTTTTTCTAAGTGCAAGTTTTGTAAAAAAATCCATCGCGTTAGGGATTTTTCAACTTACGAAACTTAATACTTGAGCTTTTCTCAAAAAGGCTATCGGGAAATATTCGATCATTTTGAAGTTCTTGAGATATTATTTCTAAATATTTCAAGAATTCACTGATTCGTCAGTAACAACATATTCAAAAATTTCACGTGAATTAGTCGTTATTTAAAGTTTCGAGAAATTTCAGGAGAAATTTTTCAAGAAGTCACCAAAAAAATGCTTGCATATTTCCCTGTGAAATAATTTTCTATCATAATAACTTCATATTCAGCAAAATGTAAAACCGATTCACCCTTTTGAGTTTGACGACTCCATTGATGAACTACGATATGTTCGAATATTCGATAATAATTTTGATCGTTGGGATGCAATCGAAGTGTTCATGACCTGCCAACGTTATCTGTTTGAAGGCGCAAGGATTGCCAAAGTTTGCTGAAGTACAGGGTCGTAAATCCCGCATTGCACTGAGGCAGGTTGATTGATCAATCACGGAAACTGCGACTAATAACGCACTGGCAATTAGTCTTAATCTTTGCCATCAGCTACACGTGAGGCATCAGTTATTCTGATTGACTGTACATCAGTGGAAGCAAACAACATGGGATGTTTTACGTCGTTAGATGAGTTCGCGATCATTTTTAGTCATGAGTTTTTCATTCTTGATTAATTTGTCATGAATGATCATTTCTTTTCATTTTTACTGGATAGAGAACATAAACTAATAATGCACATATACCGGTGAAACGTTTGTAATTTATTTTTCAACCGAAACAAAATGTTTTGTCCCAATTTTTATGAGGATTGGCGCGGCGGAAGAGGTGGTCGTCAGACTGTTAGAAATTTTTCGACATTTCATGGAAAATATGGTAGTAATTCTCATGAGAGTGGCATTGAATCCGGTTGGAGGGAGGAATGATTATGAAATTTCAAGTTTTAACCAGAATTCAAGGCAATTCATGAGTTTGCAATGGAAGTGAAGACGGAAAATTCCCAACTTGATTGAATTTTAAATGACAAATAAATATTCAGAAACAAAATGAAATGAATTTTCAATTGTTTCCTGAATTTTTGTAATTTTTGCGAATTTTCATGGAATAATCGAACTGAAAAATCAAGTATTTTATTGATTTTCCGATCATTTAAACAAAAAGTCGATGGAATATTTAATTTTTCAGTGACAAGATTTCCTGAAATTTCAGTGGGAATTGAACATGATGAAAATTTTCGGGATTTGACACGGAAAATTCCGACGAAAATTTTTAACACTGTACATTATTTAGCTTCTACCTAAAAATTTGAAATTAATTTTAAAAGACAGGGGAGAACCATTTATGAGAATATAGCATTGATCAACGATGCACAGAAATATCTAGAGTTACCGCTGCATATGGATGAGCTGTCATTTGTTTGATATTTCAAGACTAAAATCCGAAAAATTCAGTGAAAAATTTTCAACAGTATTGAGAGGGTGAAAAACTCAATTTTTCTGATTTTCAAACGGAAAAAAAATGTTCGCACCCCAAATACTCCGATCAACCAAAAGTTTGTTATCGGATATTATCTCACGATTCTTCCTTTACCCTTTGAACAGTCGGCAAACCTCTGGGGATGTCTCTGGAAACGAGAATAAAATATCCCGGATCCCGGAATATAATATACCGGATTCCGGAACATTATTCCGGTTTCCGGAATATAATATACCGGATTCCGGAATATTATTCCGGATTCCGGAATATAATATTCCGGAATCCGGAATATTATATACCCGATTCGAGAATATTTTTTTTCCGCGAGAGGAAGGTAATCGCCAGAATTAGGCTATACAATAAATTTGTCAACTCTCTATTTTCAAGACGAATGTCTCACTACGTAACGATGAGCCTTGTGAGCTATATGTAACGCCATTGATCTAAACGATTTAATCCATTTCCTTGTATTCTGTACAGCTCTGGATCCTCTTTGTGAATCCACGTTAGGTCTGGAATTATCAAAAATTTCACACTGGCAGTCCTTATTATATTCCTACTTGTTAGATTTGAGAAAAATATTGGATTTGACGAGCGAGACAGTGGACCTTCTAAAGATCATGTAAATGCACGGAGAAAAAAATACCAGAAAAATGACTGTGCTTGCACGGTAAAATGGGTTTATTTGGACGGGCCCGAAAAAATTCCCGTGCCAGTACCGAGGATTCCGGAAAATTTTCTGTGGTGTACAAAGCTCGGTGCTGGCACGGTAATTTTTCCGGGTCCGTCCAAATGAACCCATTTTAGCGGGCCAGCACAGCAATTTTTCTGGTATTTTTTTCTCCGTGTCGATTTACAGATTTACAAGAGATTCTCAGAATTTTGTACGACAGCTATCATCCACAATCTTATTGTTTAAATAAATTGAAGACAAAGGAGAACGGAAGGATACCTTATAGTAGTAGATTTTTTGCGATCTGATAATTTTTTTAACCCAAAAATAGTGTATTGTGCATCAAGGGCGGAAAGTCTTGACTTTCCGCCCGAGGTGCACATGCGATGTTGTAACACGCCTGCAAATGAAAGTTCGTATTTTGCCCTTTCATGAGCGGGAGGAAAGGATGAACTTTCCGTGTAGAGGTGTGCACAAATTATTTTCAAGTTCCCAGCTAACAATTTACCGGTAAATTTTCGGATATTTACCGGTCTCACTGGGGACTTTTAGATGGCATCCGTAAAAATTTTTCCCTGGGTTCCCGATTTATATCGGGTAGTTGTTGCAATGGCCCCGAAAATCAAAACTGAACATTTCATCATACCTTCACGTTTCATGCCCTCCACAAGCTTTTTATGAAGTTCTTACAGTCGATATGCAATAAGAATTTCCAAGAACTGAACCGTAAATTTCTACAAAAAATTTAAATAAAAATTAATGTAAAGGAGGAAAATTCCGTGATAATTAATAATGTTTTGGCTGGAAATTCTGGTAAGTTGTACAATTCTCGTCTTCCTGTTGCTAAACAATTTGAGATGTCATTAATTTTTTTATGAATTTTGGAATTTCATAATTTTTTCCCCCTAAGTCAACTTAAATGTCACTCTTCCGAAAATTTCTAGTCAACTGTCCATGAAATTCAAATTCATCTCGAACAGTGGAAACCACAAAAGCCTTTTCGTCGAATGCTGAGTTGTTTACAATAGAGTCGAATTGATTCTCAACAATTAATTGACGCTGGACAGGCCCGAGAGGGCATCCCACTTATAAAAGCGACTGGCTGCAAAATCGTCACGTTCAGTTTGCACATGACAATCGTGGGACTCGGAAGTTGTTCATACGATTGCTCTCGCAGCGGTGGAAGGAGTCATCGTCGCTATTGATCTCAATGTCTTCAGTATTCGCACTCGCGAGTGTATAAGTGCAATATTTAATTAAGGATTTAATACATGAGGAACATACTCTGCCATTTTTTTTTTATCAAGAATATTAATCACTCGTAACGACATTATCATTCATATTTTTACGTGGAATGTGAACGTCAAGCTGTGAACACTGAGTGCATTGAAAAATTCCATATTTATACATTGTGCAACGCAGTTGAATACGCAAAACCGGTTTTAATTAACTTTGAGAGGACAAAAAGAAAGACGATAACCGATGCAAAATGGCTCCGGGATCTTGGTAAACCACTTTTTCTTACTTCTGACGTATGAAAAATCTGATCAATTATTCAGCGCTGTCACACTCGTCGATAAGTGAAAAACCTAGCAGTGGTCTTGCAAATTCTTGAAAAATGCACCCAGATCTCAATTTTTATCCCTCTATTTAAGATGTTTCGTGTAAAAATTCAAAGTAATAAAAAAAATCGCAAAAATCATGGAAGAAATTTCTGAGTATGCTGCATCATTCAGAATTCTTGCACATTTTTTTTACATCTCAGTCTCAAGAAAAAAAATGATGAAATTTGGAGGTTTTCGTAACCCGTCCAGCTATAAAGTCCGAGGTTAACCCACTCTCAATTAGGAAAATTTCCATGGCACGCGAAAAAATAATGAACTATTGACGAAAAACTAGTGAGTGATAAATCAAATCTTTCTTGAGAACACGTATAAGTGTCAGATTTTTTTTCCGATTTCATAAGAAAGTTATTTGAACAAATGATTCGGAAAATTATGAGTTTCGGGGCAATTACGCCCTCAGGCGCAGACGCGTGATTCGAATGTCAGCGAGCGTGAGAGAAAGAAAACCCTCGACGTGTTTACCAACTCGAGACGCATTTTAATATTATTTCAATAATTAAAAAAATATCCAATAAAATTTATTTGACACCCGTAGGTGATGGAAAAAAAATCAATCTGATAAATAAAATCAATATTCCAAAAATGTTCAAATGCACACTTAAATACTTACTTGTATTAGTTACGATAAATGAGAAATTTGGTGAACGCTTTCATTTGAAATGGAATTCAACCTCACAACATCGAAAATTCAGCTGCAGCTGTGACTGAAATTTCAAGAAATTTCTAACATTGTACTACTTAAGACTTTTTTTACCTAAAAGTCCAATGATCAAATAGTTGTTAAGGAAATCATATAATTATTAAAGGGTTCATAAGCTATCTGAATTTTCCCACTGGAAAACACTCGAGTTCGACCGAGGTATTTGAATTTTCACGTCTTCACTGAAAATTATTTTCATAAATAGTAAATATTCATCGAATGGCTCAGGTAATAGGAGATTTTCTGTCACTTCATGGCATGATGCGGTGATTTTGTGAATGAGTTCGCGGAAAAAACTTGCTTCTATAAAAAAAACTCACCTCGAAAATTGAAAAAAAAAATCTAACACTGAGAAATAAAATTGGTTCACGCGATTTTGTACTCGTGCGAAAAATGAGGGGCAATTGGTTCTCAACAGAAAGCGACTTCTCTAACCAAGTCAAGTGGTTTTTGGCTTTAAAATTCTGGATTTGAGACTTGAAAAATATTTTTCTAGGCAGATAAATCATAAATAATCAAACGTCCATTTTTTCTCCGAATTGGTTCCACGCAAAAAACTAGAATGAATTCCGGGAATTTAGATAATTTCGATTATTATTTACTCATGAAAAGAAATTTAAGTTACATTAATCATCCATAAATTCTATAATAAATGTTCAAATAAATTCAAATAAAGTTCAAATAAATGTTCAATAAATGTTCAAATACTATTCACGTAATTTGATTCACAAAAACGGGGCCATATGATGAATTCCTCCAAGTTTATTCTGTCCAAAGTGATTTCCGAAATGATATTCGTAAAGGGGTGTTTCCCACTTCGTCCCCAAATTAATCCAATTCAATGAATGTTCGCAGCGAGGAGAATGAATCCATGCTGAAATACCACCAAGTAAACATCCTAAAACCCTCCGAAATTCTGAAGGACACCGAGAAATGCCTAGAAAGAAACAACAACATCACCGACGATAATCACAATAACACAGACGTGTACGACGACGAAGAGGAAATTGGACCCCATTACAAATCAAATTGTCGCGGTGTCCTAGCCCAGGTGAGTCTGAGTGCTTCCCAACCCATCCGGCAAACAGCCAATTGCATTTTTCACGCTAACAGCTTCACCCAAAAACCGAAAAAAGGAGTGCTGGAGAGCCAATCTGGAGAAGAAAATGTACCATTACTTCATGCACCAGAAAAAAAACGAGGGTACGGGCAAATGCTTGCTCTTACTTAACTCCAAAGTGCACTTCACAAGTTTTCAGGGCCGCGTTGCGGATTTACCAGGATCATTTCCCCCCGAAAGCTCATTTCATGTTATTTATGTCATGTTAGGGTTCAGTAGTTTTGTTTCTCGTGGAATGAAAAATTATAAATCTGACTAGGGGGCTACGCCCCCTGCGCGCTCCGTTCGCCAACTCAGACATGACCTCCATATAACCCAATATGACCCCCATGACCCTTATTTGGACCCTTATACTGACCCTTGGTTTTTCACCCTTCATTTCTGACTCTTAATTTTGAAATCTGAATTTCAAGTACCAAATTTTCGTCACCAGAAGTCTATTTGGATTTTGATAATATAGAGGGAGCTCCATATGACCTCCATGACGCTTGTGACCCTTACTCTGACTCTCATTACACCGAGAAAAATGATTCACTTAAATCAAATAACGTGTATTTAAATAGTACCAAATCAAGTTTTTTTTTCAAATTAAATAACAAATTTTATTCGAAGTTTGGTTTATATTAGATAAATGTTTTTTTACTAATTGATTATTCGGCCATAATACGGTCATACATATATTTACACGAAATTACGGCGTTTCTGATCCTTAATTTTTGAGTCCTAATTTTGGTTACCAAATTTTCATCACCGGAAGTCGATTTGGATTTTTATAATATAGAGAGATATTTTTTTCTGCAGTGCATGGTGTCAGGTGCTGTGTTGCTATTGACCGCAGGGCTGGGAATGCCGATAGGATTCAGTGCTATACTTCTACCCCAATTGAACGAGACTAATGCGACGGTCCAGGTGACACCGGAAATAGGATCATGGATTGGTGAGTTGTGACTGTTGAATTTATTCGATTTTTCTACTTCAGTCGATCCAGTTAAGCGGTACCATTTTCATGTGTTGAATTTTAGCATCGTCCTCTAAAGGACTTCAATCACTCACGGAGAGAAATATTCAATAAAAATTATGTATCTTTTCCGTAATTCCGGAGCAAAATATGGCTGTAGGAAATTTTACGGAACCGTCACGGAATTTTTCCAGAGCGTTCCGTAATTTTTATCTGGGCTTGAACTGTGAGTTCCGTAATTTTTACTGAACATTTCTCTCCGTGCTTCATTACTTCGTTTCAAAGAATTAATAACGATGGAGACGAGGACGATTCTAAAATTCAACACATGCAAAGGGTAAGATTACCGTACACTCTCGCCAGTTGCACACCCATAAGTTGCGCGTCTTTCCCTAAACCCTTTCTTTATCGTTTTCTTTTGTCCTCCAGACGTAAACACAGAGGTCCAAATAATTTTTACGTACTGATCTTCACTTTTCCTCGTCCGGGGATTGGTATTGACCCTTCCTGAAACTCGTAAAACTGAAAATCACTACGAAAAAACATCGTTCACGCCTAGTACCATGGGGTTTTTTACTCGCGTGGAGTTGGCGTCCGAGTCGAAGGCGAGGACTGGCCAACCGCGCGAGTAAAGAAACCCCATGCCCCCGCCCTGAAATATACTATTCTTCCAAAATGAACCTTTTCTTTCCCTCTCATTTTTGTGAAAATTTGGGTCGGCAGTGGTTGAGGAGTGGGGGTCGGGAAATGGGTACCCCTACAGCCCTTTCGATGCGCAACTAGCGAGAGTCTACTGTAGTCGTACTCATGGGAGAGTCGGGGACGCGAATTCGGAGAATGCGATTATCTTTCGCTACCCCCACTACGCCCTCCGTGGGGCGAGATTTCCCAGAACTGGGAGCCATCAAATGAAAATACTAAAATACTCTAACGCTTTATTAAATAATTTGATTCATTACGTTAATATTTCACAAATATTAACGTCATATACATTTAGACAGATCTATTACAAAACAACACGAAGATTACACAATTACGTCTATTTGTAGAATTTTTCCTTGAAAAAAATGTGTAGGAAAGATTGTAAAAAAATCATGTATTCCTTGAAGAGCAGATGAAGGCAATTCAAAATTGAGTAGCAATCAACCAGCGATCGAAAAATGTGTGAATAAAATCTCGCTGCTTGTTCCGAAGTCACTGTATCTCGCAATTCTGGAGTGAATAGGTCCTAGCATAGACTTAGGCCCTGAAGGACAGTTCAAACTTCCTCATTTGTGATCGTTGGTAGTGACCCACCCACTTAGGGACCACGCTCAATGCTGCTTAGATTTCCATAACTCGAGCATGTCTGACGTGACATCGGTTTCAATCAAAAATATAATGTATCAGTACATATGACTATTTCTATAGAAAAATCCACCACTTTCTCTAAGGAAATTCTGTAAACATTCCATTGTGGTTCCCCTAGAATTCCATTGAAGTTAATTTCATTTTTGCGAAAATCGGTTGTCCCACGATAACTAAAAAAAATGTTCTAAATTGATTGAATGATGGCTTAAAAAATTTGTTTGGACGTCCCTTGGACCGAGCTCGAAGATGAAGGCGATAGCAATAATCGTTATCTTGATTTATTATAAAATCGTCAAAAATTTTGTATTTTTTGAAAATTAGAATTCCGAGGATATCTTTGAATATCATGCTTCAAATGAGTTCAATCATAGCTGAAAATGCTTGTTTTAATGCCATTAAGTCGAAGTTAAAAGATGATTACGATACAAGGAGAGAAATCGTCAATAAAAATTACGTATCTTTTCCGTAATTACGGAGCGCAATGTGATTATAGGAAATTTTACGAAACTGTCACGGAATGGTTCCAGAGCGTTCCGTAATTTTTACAGAATATTTCTCTCCGTGCAGCTATATTGGTTAATTTGATTTTGATGATGATTATTGAAAATTTCGAATTTTTTATGAATTTCCTTGAAAGTGACCTTTCTGAGCTTTCTCCAAATGTGATGTTTCAAATTCATTCAAATATGTGAAAATAAAATTTTTCTATTAACATTTTATCGAAGGGCTGAGGGGAGTGATAGAACTGGAAAAAAGACAGTCGGTTGTATAGAAGAAAGGGATCATGAGAGTAATGATGATGACAACATTCAATTAAACAAAAACAAAGTTACTTAAAAGGTAATCTTATTCAATTTAATAAAATGAAATAAACAATAAATTATGCATGATAGAAGGACATGATGTGCGAAATAGTTATTCGGAAGCTATTTATTTTATTTTGCTAATTTATTAGCAAAAATCGCTATACTATATGCAATGCAAAAGCAATTTCCCACTTGTTTTAATCATTATGTCACATCGCTCTGACTCGGTTCTGAGTACAGTGTAAAATCTGATCAAGACTTTGAATCGAGCTTTGAATGGTTAGATTTCACCATTCTACCCGCCCGAGTTTTCAAACCGGGACCTCGAGCATGTGAGCCAACGAACCTACCCACTGCATCAGTCTAAACGACCTTTTTTTCTCTCAGTAAATACGTTCATTATTCAAAGTTATCCATTTCCCCAAAATCCCATGATCTTAAACTAACTTAAACACTCCGATGTTGAATAAATTCAATAATGGCACATCTACAAAACTTCAGTACGGTTCAGACTCCGTAATACGAATTACCTCTAATCTAATCGAAAACTCGTAAGGTCCGAACTTTGGTGTAACATCTCTGTTAGTTAACCCCAAGCATCTCTGGAAATCAGATTTTAGAGCCTAATTAGGTGTAAAGGGATGCTGGGGTTGACGAATATCACGGAGTACAGCGTGAAAGGAGAACTCGATCGATGCCAGAATGTCCCGGAAACCTAAAGCTCCTCTAATTAACTCACCCCCCTGTCATTCCTATATACAGAAATTGGATAATTATCCTATATGCGGATTTCATCCCAAATGGATTAAGAGCGTAGGATTAATTCGGAAATCATTAGGATCTCCCACGGGAAGTGCACAATACCACCCCAAAGCATATTATTAGCCAATAATAAAATAATAACCCGGAACCAGACGAATAGAGCAGTCGCCCAACGCCGAAAGCGTGGATGGTGCAATTTTTTATGTTGAAAAAAAAACAAAATTAGCTGTGTAGGAGTCAAATTTAAAAAGCCTAGCTCGTAATTGTTATTGTATGTATTGTTTCCAAAAATTTTGAAAAAAAACCTCTGTAGTTCTAAAATTGGAGGCCCTGGTTCATGCAGCTGTATAAAGCCCGCTTTTTCCTTCAAGTCAACGCTCAGCAATACCCCCGGAATCAATTCTGCAACACGCACATTAAACTCTTCGCAATTTACTCATCGCTGTCAATGAAATCTCACTGTTTTCTTTGATTTCACGATAAAGTTGAATTACGAGAGACTAGGAACAATTCTGTGGATTATAAACAAATCTAAAAGGGGAAGGAAGAGCATAACTCAGAGTTCAAGGACCCCAGTGCCAGGTTCATGGCACATGGTTAACGTCCTTGATTGTCTGCGTGCTAGTTAATCGTGTCTCGTTTATCCCCATGATGCTCAGAATAACACACATACATAAACAACGATAAATTGATTTACGAGTCAGCGTAGAACTGACCTAGATATTTTTTTATTGAATGATACCCCTGAATCATGAATCCAAATGTGTCAGACTGGCCACTGGTGATTGATCGCCACGAGGATTGGATCAATTATACGACTTCAGCAATTGCGACTACCGGAAAAAAATGAAACTCATCCACTTGTCACTTTCCCTTTTATTGAATTGTCGATTCTACGCAGTTGTGGGATATCGTGATAAGGAATTATGTGTGAAGGATGTTGATTCCTATCGGAGTAAAGAATAAATTAGGGCGGTTTTTCCCCTTGGTTTCCCTCTTAAAAAAAAATCAGAGGAAATCTTCTCATCTGAGACTTTGCATCTGCAATGAACCCTTAGGGAAATGTTCTATAATTTTCAAGCTCTTACCGCGGAAAAACAAAAACTTATAAATTCTCACCTCTCAATTTTCAAAACAAGTCTCCATGAATCTGTCTTCATCTTTTTTTCCAATATTTATGAAATAATGTGCTAATTCACTTGTTCTCGACTCATCGCCATTCTGCTTCATCTCCATTCCCCACTCCGTAATTTATGCTCTGTAAAATATTCCGAGAATCTAATATTAATATTGACGGACGAAACTCCCTCGAATTTGGAATTGTAAATGAGGAAAAATTGGGAAACGCTAACGAGTTTAAATCCCGAGGGATTTAAAATTTCATCCAACAGAATGAGCCGAGAAATGCGAAAAAATTATAGAAGAGTCGCTTTTTCAAATGTCCTTGAGGGGAGAAACAGTGTTGCAGTCATAAAAATTTAATTGATTCGGCGAATCCCTGACCAAGGGCATTGAGATCATTGGCGGACTCGTCTTACTGCTGTGGTGCTTATCTGAGCGAATCTCAAACAGTTAAGTTTATCCTCTGGAAAATTTAATTAACTATCTCTACGCTTGATGCCTCTGGAACCTCATTATGTATTCAGGGAAACACACGTCGCTCCAGCGAAATTGAGTTCCCAAATTTCATGTTCAAATTTTACTTACAAACACGGAAAGATAAATTTGGTAAGAATTACGATGATATGGATGATAACCTAGCGGAATGTATTCAGCGCAGTTTTGAATGTGTAAACGGGTAAAAAATGTGAGAAATAAGAAGATTTTTTCCATGCCGGCTGTAAGGCAGCGATTCATGGACGCTACGCGCCTAAAAAAACTAAACTAACTGAAACAACTTTTTCCGTACTGCTCTTCACTTTTCCTCGTCCGGGGATTAGTATTAGCCCTTCCCCGAACTCGTAAAAGTGAAAATCACTACGGGAAAATATCGTTCAGGCGAGGGTAAATTTCCCTATTTGAGAGTGGGTAACCTCGGAGGTTATAGCTGAAGGGGTTACAAAAACCCCTCCATCATATAATATGAGATGTCTCAAAGAGGTTTAAATTCATTAATAGCAGCCCACTATTAATGAATTAAACCTCTAATGGGGGTTAGAACCTTTTTTCTCAATTTAATTATCGTTTTGGTTTTTCAGAAAAGAAATGTTTAAAAAACAGGATTTAACCCAGTGTCTTATGTGAAAATCAACATTTGCATTGTAATCAAAGATTAAAATCTGTTTTTTTTTCATTAGGTGTGAAAAAATCAAGATTTTTTTGGGCACCTCATAAAAAATAATCCACCGTTTTACAAACAAGTTTTATTATTTATTTATAAGAGGGAAATGTTTGAAAAAATATCAATATTTTGCGAAATTTAATGGAGGTAATACTGACTGGGTATGAATTTTTTCAATTTTTTCCATGCAATTTAGTTGAAAAATTAAAAAACCGAAAATATCCAAAAGGACAGCGTAGCCCAGCCGAAGGGTAGAGCTACTTTAACACCGTTTGATCCTTATAACTACTCTCTTCCCGTTGAAAAATAACCGGGGCCATAGGTATCTTATGAGAAGCCCACGGAACATAAACATTCGTGAGGCAATAAAAGTGCCAGGATTGGGGGTAGGCCCCGAGCGCTCGGAACGCGAGGTATCTTACAGAGAGGTATTTTATACGAAGTCTCTACTGTATTTCATAATTGAGGAGAATATTTAATTTCTAATCAATAATGTACAGTTAATAAACCTCAATCAGTCAATCAATTAATTAAAAGTTAGACTTCAAGTATTTTTTAATAGTTCAACATGAAGAATCAAATTGTGAACTTCAAAGTTAGGATAATAAAATGGCGATATAAACGACAACCTGATGTTTGAAAATAATTTCATCTCACTGTTTGTTCATGTTCGAAAAAATCAAGGAAAATTCATTGCGAATGATGAATAATTTATTGATGATCCTTCAACGAATTGACAACAAAATGTGGTCTCATAAATACGTCAAGAGCCCATTCGAGGTGCGTTTATTCAATACATCGAGACAAAATTGGATTCGTTTGCGCAAAGCTCATGAAAATAATCGATCATATCGAGTGTACTCGATATGATCGTACACTGAATTGAATAAAAGTTATTGTAATCATATTGATTGATCATCCGTCTATTAATTATTTTCAACAAGAAATGATTCATGCTTTCAGGATTTTACTTCTCCAATTTGTTCAATGATTTCAGGGAAACAGAACAAATCTTCCAATTTCACTTGAATGTTTCCGAGATTATTCTACAAATGTATGGCAACGTTTGGTCTCATGAATGATTCAAAGGTTTCGCGGAGTATTTATTCGAGTTTATTGAATCGTAAATACATTCACCGTTGGAAAACTCATGACAAAAAATTGTTTATCAATTCAATAACTATAAATGAAGTTATTGAAAACTGGAGATATTTCAAAACATTCGGTTCAATCACCAAACTTATCAATTAAATTGCAATAACTAGTTAGATGTTAAAATTAACGATGAAATTTGCCAAAAAGTCGGTTAATAATGAAAAAAGTGAAAATGAATAAATTGCATTTTCATTCACTCCATGGACGAAAAAATTTAATAGAAAAACCTATCGAATTGCATGAGTTTTTGGCCGATTATATTGAAATGTTCAATAGAAAATATTCAGTAGAAAAAGTCGATAGAATTCAATTTTTCCATATAACTTATTCTATTGAGATATTTTTTCTATAAAATTTCCTCGGCTCAAATTTTCTAAGTTTTTTCATTTGATTTTCTTGATAAGAAGAGAAGAAAAATGGAATGAAAAAACATGGAAAATTTGAGTCGAGCAAATTCTATAGAAAATATATGAAAAGAATAAGTTATATAGAAAAATCGAATTCTGTTGACTTTTTCTATTGAATGTTTTCTATTGAACATGTCAATAGAATCAGCCAAAAACTAATAGAAAGTTTACTACAAATTCAATAGAATTTTCTAACGAATTAGGTTTTTGTTAGATTTTTTCGTGCCTGTCAATCTCCGAATTTTTCAATTCTGTCAATTCCGTTGATTAATACATCGATAAATTATTCATAAACCATCAAAAGTTTAGTACTCATATGTACACAAATCGATTCCACTTGGGAAACGCCGGAATGACACTCACCGTCAACAACAGCCCTTAATCAATAGCAAAACAATACTTCAATCAGTATCATCTCCCTTGAATATTTCGAAACAATCAATTAGCAAGAAGACTGGTATACAAATTGTCTCCGCGAACCTTGAATCGATTCACTTTATAAAATCGAGATGATTGTACCGCATTGCTCAATGTCGACAAAACCCTGGGTGACAGCCTTGTGATGACTAATGAAACGAAATGTCGTCGCACATTTTCCTGCTTTAGAACATATAACATGCAAATCATGGCTGATATATCATCTGATAGAATTAAAGTGGTTTCAATCAAATTTTATCTAGGTCAATCACGGGGCTGAATGGCTATTTTGAAATTGTGAAAATTCATTGCTTACTGAATTTTCTGCATTGAATATTCATTTTTTTGCGTAAGTGCTGTCGAAGGTGATAACAATTTCATAAAATTGTTGTTATAAAGTTCGTTTGCACTTTAATTTCGTTAATTCGATCATTCAACATTCTGGAATTTTTCTCCTTTTATGATTAACTAAGATGATCAAGTCAAAGTAACTAATTGCTAGTGTGATTACCATCGCCAATCTACTATCTCACTACTAAATTGACCGAAACAGTGAAGTTGTAATAAAGTTTGTTCGTAGCTTTTGCTGCCTCTGCTAAAATATTGCGCTTCGGAATTTGGTTTATTCCCTTCACATTTCAGTTGATTTATTTGGAACTTTCCATATTGTTCTGAACGCTGCTGCTCACTCCATCCAAGCTTCCCCTCCAGCTATTCAGCGGTCGCCGAAATCAGTAACTTCATACCCGATGGAAATGTGTCCTTCCTCGGGGCATGTTTATGCTTAGTATTACAAAATAAATTCCATTGGAATTGAAATTGAAATGTTTTCGTTGGCTCCGGTTAATTCAGTAGCGCAGTGGTAAACGGAGATAAGTCAATTTTGACTATTGACCAGTTTTCAATCAATATCTCGGAATCTAAGCGAGATAGCAAAATTTTTGTTATAACCTTTTTTGTAGAGCCGATTGAGAGCTATAACAAGTGTAATTACAAAAATTTCGCTATCTCCCTTAGATTCGGAAATATTCCTCAAAAACTTAAATGAGAGATAAATCAACTTATCTCCGTTTACCACTTCACTACTGAATTGGAATGGAACCAATTTAAAATCGATGTCTTCAAACTTGTTAGTTTGTTCTGTTCGTTTTTTATATCACCGTAGAGGCTTTGTATAAGATACCATAGGGACAGTAGGAGAGTGGAATTCCGGGAATACCTATGCCCCCACTACGCGCGCCCGTAGAGAGGAGAAAAATAGGGATCAGCGGGTTTCAAATAAGATACCTGGCTCGTTGCGCCCGAATTCAATGAAATTTTCATTTTTACTGAATGAATATCGATAGCTAATCAATTTATATGTGTTTAATGGTTTGAATTTGTATCGCCCGCGTTCCCTTTTCTCTCTAAACATAACCACGCGTGATAGAATGGCACACGGAGAGAAATATTCCATAAAAATTACGTATCTTTTCCGTAATTCTGGAGCGAAATGTGGTTGTAGGAAATTTTACGGAACTGTCACGGAATTTTTCCGGAGCATTCCGTAATTTTTATCTGAATCTCCTGTGAAAAATCACGATACCGTCACTTGAATTTTCTGAGTCGATTCCGTAATCGGTGAGTGAATTGTGAGTTCCGTAATTTTTACTGAACATTTATCTCCGTGCAGCTGATATTGGTGGATTGTTGGTGGACTGGAAAATAATCACGGATGAAAAAATATGATTTTTCGATGGCAAAAGTGAAAAAAAAATCGATGTATATTTCCATTACCTGAAAAAAGTGGTGTGACCCCGCCCCTTAAGGTCATCAAACCCTCATGATCACTTCGTCCGTCCCTCCCGTTTGACCCTTAAATTTCAATTTTTTTCCAATTTCAATTTTTTAAGCTGTTTTACATCTACTAAACGAAAAGAATTATAAATGAATTAAGAATTATTAGTTGATTGAAAATCAGACTTTTTTGAAACCGTATTATTTACGTCGTGACGTCATCACTGCGGTTTCAAATTATTTGAAATGTTCAACTTTTAATAAACACTTATTAATTAACGAGCAATATTTCTAATGTTTATAAATGCAAAATTAATCACTGAAGGTCGAAACTTGAGATTAAACAATTAAAAAAAGTTCATGCAAGTTCCCTGTTGTTGTGCTTTCAGCCTCAATTCATAGTTTGGCGAGTCCACTAGGTGCCCTATTATCCGGACCACTCTTGGACGCAGTGGGTAGACGTGGAAGTCTGCAATTAGCCACTCTCCCCCTAATCTTGGGTTGGATAATGATTGGAGTCGCTAACGACACGTGGTCAATTCTCACGGGGAGATTTCTCGCTGGATTCTCCGTCGGAATGGGTGCAGTTCCTTCCCAGGTACCCAAGCAATTATGTAGTAAACTACGAACATAAAAACAAATGGAACTGGGGCAAGTTGTTCTCCTGGAATAAGTGCCCCAGAAAAATGCAAATCGGGGAAGATAAAAGGGAGATAGAATTTCCAAGGAGTCTGAGAAGTTGGAGAATTTCTTAAAAATTCATTAAACTTTATTATTCAAAGGTTCTGATTGGCGAATGTACAGACGCTTCTCTTCGTGGAACTTTGGTGACGATTGGCATGGTTGCATATTCTGGAGGTATTCTTCTAGTTTACGCGCTCGGTGCTACTTTCAGATGGAGCATTGTTGCGTTTGCGGGAACTGTACTTCCACTTGTAGCTCTTGTCAGTCTTAGTTTCGTGTGTGAGAGTCCGGTGTGGCTGATGAGGCGAGGGAAGAGGGAAGATGCGAAAAAGGCATTACTGTGGCTGAGAGGAGGAGATGAAAAACAGGTACAATAGTATTTTTTTCTCTTTACATTCTCCTGAATAATAAAGTTGAGAGGGAAGTCCTAGAGACAACTGAGTCACTGCATATTGGTTACCCCCCC